AATGAAATTGATAATACGAAACTGAAAAAATGCTTACAAGATAGGTTGCATCAATCATATGGCATTTATAAAATGAAACTTACGTCCATATAAAAATAGTTAGCATTAAAGGTTTTTCAAAGAAAGATCAAAGAATCTTTCAAAATAAATAGGTAATTATCTAAAACTTCAAAATCAATTTGTGATTGATGAAGACAAAATCAAAGTACAATATATAATGGAATCGAGATACTCAAAAATAAAGATTATTTTTATTGAAATGACGTATTTTATTTCATATAATTATTTAATATTGGATGAAAAGAATGCAAAGTGTACAAAGATTTATACATAAACTGCCAAGTATTTAAATAAAGACTGCAACATCAGAGTCAATGAAATTAAATATTTAGGAATAGATAATAAATTAAAATCTCGTCTTAGGTTTACAATCAAATTAATAATAAAACATTATTTAACTTCAAAGTGTTAATATCCTAACAATATTTCTGGTAAGCGCTACGTAACGATGACAGTAACCATTAAATCGTTATTGTCACTGTTGCATAGTGCTTACTAGAAATGGGTAGAACTTAATGAGATACAAGTAACTGATACAAAATTTTAATAATTAATTAATTAGTTAAAACTTATTGTTTTTGCACTTTGAGGGAACTTATTACAAAAAAGTATGAAAAATATTAAAATTTTATTTACATGTGTAACAAAGGAAAAATTACTGCATTATTATCTTCATATGGCAACAACATTGATTTGCATTTAATTTCTAATAATGAATATATTTTTAACGACTAAGTTTGTTAAGGCTTACAGTATAAATACCTAGAATTGCAGAATCATAAGATGTCATAAAAAATGATTTTTTCTCGAGAAACGTTTGCCCAATAATACAAATAATATTACTGCATTATGTTATTTTGCATACTTTAACAATGTCATTATCAAATATTTGTGCATAACAATCAGCAGTGCTTAATTTGAAAGTACGGGATTTTAATTTTAATTCTTTATATTTACCTAAATAATTTGATAATAAGGATCCGTTATAATGTTCTTTGGCGACAATATTGTTTTCAGAGTAATTTTCTAATCTTGGAATATTATTATATTCGGAAACACGACGTATTATTTGTTAAAGTGGTTTTTTTTTCTTGTCATTTTTTTTTTAGTTGTATCATATAATTCCCGAACGAGAAAGCTGAAAATTCATTTAAATTGCCAAATCGTATGACATCCTCACGTATGTGTAACAAAATATTTACATTATAACAAACAAAATCTTGACTATAAATATTGATACTTGTTTCAACAAAGCATTTTATTAGATTTTTTGCTGTAATTCACCATATCTATTCTTTTGCAGAATTCGTTACTACACTGTCAAGAAATGATAATAATTATTTTTTGAAAGAATTTGTTTGAAAATTACAGGTCCTATATATAATAGCACAAGTTTAAATTCCGTTGCCTTGAAACGAGGACATTCTTCAAGCGATCTACCTTTACGTAGATATTCATCAGGAATATATTTATTTAAGTTTTTGATTTTATTTAAAATTGATTCTACTTATCCATATGAAAGCTTATATGGTTGTTTATCCAATATCCAACCATATCTTTCATGTGTAATCAATATTTTCATCACCCCCAGACAAATAAGATGCACGTAATCTAGTATAACACCTTTGATCATATGAAAATTCGTCAAAATGGTTATCCTTTTGTGGTAATCTTCATCATGTTGTTGTCTAAATCTGTTCTCTTTATAATATTTGTCTCTGTGGAAAGCACAATACATTATTAATCACACAACCTTCCACCTTGCATTTAGTGCAGCTATAATAACCGGTATGGTTTTTTATATTTAAAATATAAGATTTAGCGCGCATATCACATATTATTACTTTTATTTAAAAATCATATTTTTGATTATTGATAAAAATTCCATTCGTGATCAAGTAAATTGCTTCATTTACAAATTCTATTAAATATTTATTCGGGTTTTTCGGTTTACCATTACCATGATACAGGGCTACCATTAAAACATATTTTTTCAAAACTTCAATAGATTTTATTTGAACTAATATTGGCCATAAACAATTTGAACTGCTTTTACTAATAGGCAAACCATCTATATTTACGGCTAATTCAAAAGATGTACAATTACGAATGAATATACCACATTGATTAATTATATTGATTGACTGTGCAATCCCAAAGTAATAAAAGGAACCGGTGCTCATTTTTATAGAAATAAGATTGCTTGGAGTAAATAACATTGTTCTCGGATCTTTTGGTAAATTATGAAAGGTAAAATTATTTTCATTTCGGAGAGTTTCTAAGAATTTTTTAAAACTATTTTGAGTAATATTTTCCTCAATGACCCATGATGCTAATTATTTTCGTAATGATATATCTTTATCTTTTTTTTTGGCACAAGTGGATAAATCATTATTATTATTCATTATCATTCTCTATCATTATCAACGCTATTTAAAGATAACGTAGAATTATTTAAGAGAGATATATGATTTAAAAAGCTTTCTTCGATATTGTTGACATGAAAATTTAATTCAGCGACATTTTCGCGAATCTCTTTACTTAATGATACATTGGTTGGCTGAAATCCAGGACTTTGTGTATCAATATTCACGTTATTTATATCTCCACCGATACACTTTATTGCTTGAACAAGTAATGTCGGTCGATTCAATTGGGTTAGTATGGCTTTGTAATTCAATTAAAACCAACGATGCTTTCACATTCGCCACATTCGCCAATTTTTCGATTGAAATGTCTCTTAGTCCCACACAGCACATAATAGCATTTGAATATTCTATATTCATACTGTGAATTGTGAATATACGTTATATATGTAATATACTAAGAACATTCCTATAACGTTTCTTGTAGTCTATTATTTCTCGGATATTCTCAGGATATACTTTTGAGTTACGCAAATTTATTTATTAGCAGATATATTAATTTTATTTGTTAAAACATTGTTAAAACCCTGTGTACATGTTGATATATATATGTACATGTTGTGTGCGTGTGCGCGCGCGTGCGCATAAAATTATTAGAATCATGAAGGTAAAAGACAAATTCAAAATTGTGAGTGTAAAAAGAATACTATAATTAATAATAAACAATAAAATATATATATGTAAATTTAAATACAAATAGTAGCTTACACTGTACGACATGTGTTTTTCGAACAAATGATACATATTAATGATTAAACACATACATAAGATTAATAGATATAATATTTAACACATATTTTTAAAAATTCCAGTCTATTTAAAAGAATAACAAAAGACTTATAATATTAATTTGTACTCTTTTCGTTATTTGCTTTTTTCACAATACAATTGAATATAAAAATGTATCTTCATAATTGTATATTAAATAGTATTGTAACTTAGAAATACAACTAAACACAAAATTTAATTTTAAAAATAATGTTTATCTATTGTAATATATAAAAACATAAATTTTTATTATGTTAAATATAGTAATTTCGGTCGATTCAATTGGGTTAGTATGGCTTTGTAATTCAATTAAAACCAACGATGCTTTCACATTCGCCACATTCGCCAATTTTTCGATTGAAATGTCTCTTAGTCCCACACAGCACATAATAGCATTTGAATATTCTATATTCATACTGTGAATTGTGAATATACGTTATATATGTAATATACTAAGAACATTCCTATAACGTTTCTTGTAGTCTATTATTTCTCGGATATTCTCAGGATATACTTTTGAGTTACGCAAATTTATTTATTAGCAGATATATTAATTTTATTTGTTAAAACATTGTTAAAACCCTGTGTACATGTTGATATATATATGTACATGTTGTGTGCGTGTGCGCGCGCGTGCGCATAAAATTATTAGAATCATGAAGGTAAAAGACAAATTCAAAATTGTGAGTGTAAAAAGAATACTATAATTAATAATAAACAATAAAATATATATATGTAAATTTAAATACAAATAGTAGCTTACACTGTACGACATGTGTTTTTCGAACAAATGATACATATTAATGATTAAACACATACATAAGATTAATAGATATAATATTTAACACATATTTTTAAAAATTCCAGTCTATTTAAAGAATAACAAGAGACTTATAATATTAATTTGTACTCTTTTCGTTATTTGCTTTTTTCACAATACAATTGAATATAAAAATGTATCTTCATAATTGTATATTAAATAGTATTGTAACTTAGAAATACAACTAAACACAAAATTTAATTTTAAAAATAATGTTTATCTATTGTAATATATAAAAACATAAATTTTTATTATGTTAAATATATTATATACACACGTGTGTGTGATTCCAGAATGGATTAAAACTAAAAATATATTTTTTTATTCATATATATCACATTATTGTAATTATATAATCATTGCAACATTGCAATATAAATAAAAAATTTAAACAAAAAACTGCAAAACTTTTAAGGAAATTAAATATTGACATAAAAAAACCCATAATTATTTAAACAATAAGAAAATTAGATAACATCTACAAATTAAATTGCTCAAGTTAATGATTTATAGAATATATAAAACAAAAAATAGATTAAATCATATATACTGAAATAATATATAATAATAATACTTTGATATTATGCATGTTGCGATTGTTAATGAGTCAATTTTCAGTTGTTTCAACTTCTTCAGGAGCTATATTTCTATCTTTATTTTTATTGTTAAAGCGATCTTTGCATCTTACCAGCCACGCTTTTATAAAATATATTATGTCTGTACACTCTTGAGTCTTCTTGTTAAGTCGTACTGCAGCTGTAAATATTTTTACAAAATATTAAAAAATTTATATATATATGTATATATTTCAAACATATATTACATAGAATATGTAAATACATAAAACTAAGTTATATGTGAACATACATAATTATATCCAGATTGCTTTGTTTTCTTTATTAATCTTACATAATTTAAAGCTTTTTATATTAACTGAATTTTTATATAAACTAAACTTGAATTAAAATTAGAGCCACATATATTAATGCTAAATATGAGATATAAATATGTGCCGATAAATAAAGGATATCAAAACATGTGTGTTACGATGCTCGAAACGTGTTATGATGCTCGAAAATATGTTATGCTCGAGACAAAAATCTACTTTATATAAAAGATATTTATGATATTATACGACATTTTTTTATTACGCACACACATGTGTGACTAATAGATATTAAAGATATAAAAACTCTATAGTAATCTCTATTCTTAAGAGAATTATAACATGTATTATATAAGAGAATAAGAGAAAAGCTTTTATAAAAATAATTTGATTAACTTATAAAGAATAATAGGTGCCAGAGCTAAATTTTTGAAAACTTTCTTTTTTTTTGGCTCCTTCCCATGAATAGGACATGCCAACTTCATTCGTAAAAATATGATACATTATCCTTCGTACAACTTCTTTTACAGTACATCCTCCAATACGACTTAAATTTTGAGCCTAATAAAAAGATCATTATTTAATTATTTATTTATATTATTCAACATAGTATCATTTTTACAGATCTTTTTAAATATAGAAAAAAGTTAAATATAGACAATATTTTTAATGTACAATTATAAAATTAAAAATATTCAAATATGATATAATTATTAATTTTTTGACACTGCATTTTTTTTTAGTAGAAAGATATTTTAATTTCTCTTACCAATATTGTTTTATTCTCGTTAGAACTCATTAACCAATTTTCTAATTCAGCCAAAGAATTATGATTTACTGGAAACGATTGGATAATATCGGGAACATTATTACATACAAATGATTTTTGTGATTTATCTGCTTTATCTTTCAGTAGAGCATTAATAATTTCAGAAATATCATCAATTTTCAAACTGATAATGTGCAACTCTCTCAAAACTCGTTTTTCAAATGCTAAAATAAATATCATTATATTAATATATAGCAATATTTTTTTCCGGGATCTATATAATTTCGAGATTCTATTTATTATAGTATAATAAATTATTAAATATCAAATATACGAAATATACCTTTCTCACTAATATTTGGTTCGAAATTCGAATCAAGTTTATGATGTACCAATGCAGTTTTTACTGTAGTGTTATTAGAAGTAGAAGTAGTAGTATCAGAAGTAATATTAGTAATATCTCTGAACTGATTATTTTTATCAGTATTATTTTCTACTCTCATTAATTTTATTTGTTAAAACATTGTTAAAACCCTGTGTACATGTTGATATATATGTACATGTTGTGTGTGTGTGCGCGCGCGTGCGCATAAAATCATTAGAATCATGAAGGTAAAAGACAAATTCAAAATTGTGAGTGTAAAAAGAATACTATAATTAATAATAAACAATAAAATATATATATGTAAATTTAAATACAAATAGTAGCTTACACTGTACGACATGTGTTTTTCGAACAAATGATACATATTAATGATTAAACACATACATAAGATTAATAGATATAATATTTAACACATATTTTTAAAAATTCCAGTCTATTTAAAGAATAACAAGAGACTTATAATATTAATTTGTACTCTTTTCGTTATTTGCTTTTTTCACAATACAATTGAATATAAAAATGTATCTTCATAATTGTATATTAAATAGTATTGTAACTTAGAAATACAACTAAACACAAAATTTAATTTTAAAAATAATGTTTATCTATTGTAATATATAAAAACATAAATTTTTATTATGTTAAATATATTATATACACACGTGTGTGTGATTCCAGAATGGATTAAAACTAAAAATATATTTTTTTATTCATATATATCACATTATTGTAATTATATAATCATTGCAACATTGCAATATAAATAAAAAATTTAAACAAAAAACTGCAAAACTTTTAAGGAAATTAAATATTGACATAAAAAAACCCATAATTATTTAAACAATAAGAAAATTAGATAACATCTACAAATTAAATTGCTCAAGTTAATGATTTATAGAATATATAAAACAAAAAATAGATTAAATCATATATACTGAAATAATATATAATAATAATACTTTGATATTATGCATGTTGCGATTGTTAATGAGTCAATTTTCAGTTGTTTCAACTTCTTCAGGAGCTATATTTCTATCTTTATTTTTATTGTTAAAGCGATCTTTGCATCTTACCAGCCACGCTTTTATAAAATATATTATGTCTGTACACTCTTGAGTCTTCTTGTTAAGTCGTACTGCAGCTGTAAATATTTTTACAAAATATTAAAAAATTTATATATATATGTATATATTTCAAACATATATTACATAGAATATGTAAATACATAAAACTAAGTTATATGTGAACATACATAATTATATCCAGATTGCTTTGTTTTCTTTATTAATCTTACATAATTTAAAGCTTTTTATATTAACTGAATTTTTATATAAACTAAACTTTTATATAAATTTTTATATAAACTGAATTACAATTAGAGCCACATACATATATTAATGCTAAATATGAGATATAAATATGTGCCGATAAATAAAGGATATCAAAACATGTGTGTTACGATGCTCGAAACGTGTTATGATGCTCGAAAATATGTTATGCTCGAGACAAAAATCTACTTTATATAAAAGATATTTATGATATTATACGACATTTTTTTATTACGCACACACATGTGTGACTAATAGATATTAAAGATATAAAAACTCTATAGTAATCTCTATTCTTAAGAGAATTATAACATGTATTATATAAGAGAATAAGAGAAAAGCTTTTATAAAAATAATTTGATTAACTTATAAAGAATAATAGGTGCCAGAGCTAAATTTTTGAAAACTTTCTTTTTTTTTGGCTCCTTCCCATGAATAGGACATGCCAACTTCATTCGTAAAAATATGATACATTATCCTTCGTACAACTTCTTTTACAGTACATCCTCCAATACGACTTAAATTTTGAGCCTAATAAAAAGATCATTATTTAATTATTTATTTATAAAGATTTTCTGAAATTTTATTGACATCACGAGCTCGTAATTTATGAGGTTGTTTACCGTAAATCCATCCGTATCGTTTATGACAAAGAAGTCTTTTCATGCCACCTAATAAGAGATTATGCATATAATCTATTGGTACATTATCTATCATATTAAAGTTTGGTATATCTAACAGTATACTTGTACCAATATGATGCTCTGGTTGAGCAATAGTTCTAAATGAACTATCGGTTCTTTTGTAAAAGCGCTCTGTTTCAATAAAACATAATACATGATTAACTATTTCACCCTCTTGGTTACATCTTGTGCATGAAAAATGGCCTGTATGATTTTTAATAGCTAAATGACACAGAATTATTGTTGATTAATGCTGAAGATCGATTTATTTTATTTGTAAGCTTTCTATAAAACTTTATTTTATTCCTTGTCTCTAATTTATCCATGGCCAAATCTAGGTTAGAAAAACAAGTTAAACACGTGCTCGAATATCAAGTTAAATATAATGGGATACTTGCTTTAAAAATGAAAGTTTTGTCTAATAGTTCCACAAACACAATAAACTAATACATAAAATATAGAAATAAATATGTATAATGCACCAAAACAACACTGCAACGGAATTTTGGCACGGAAGAATACAGACCAGTCGATCAGTGCTGTATTGCCAGAAACGGATCCCGGCTCACACGCACACAATCAGAAAATCTCGTACCTCTGCGCAGTATATGTACAAGGTTCTCTGATTGTGTGCGTGTAAGCCGGGATCCGTTTCTGGCAACACAGGATCAGTGTTGCTATCGTCGACATATAGGACGGTATTCATAGTCCATTCTTATTTCAAGACTATCTTAAATCTTAAGTAATGTCTTAAGATGCTAATACGGCTCTGTGATTGGTTTATGACATCTTAAGATTGTACTTAAGATGTCTTAAATATAAGAACCGACTAGGGCTGCGTTCCACTAAACGATCGCAACGCTCGCAAGCATGATCTGTCTTTGTTTAACTTTCGATGAGAAAGAAGGATAAAATGATTTTACGAGCATTGCGATCGGCAGGTGGAACTTGTAGCCTATGAATACCGTCCATAGAAAGGACTGAGCATCGCGATAGACAAACTCGCGCTCGCTGTAGAAAGAGAGAGATATTGTGTGGGAGGCCTATGTTTGTCTCTTTTGCGCTAGCATCTCATTGGTAATTGCCTGTAGTGTCCGAACAAATGCAGAAGATATAAAAGCAAATATTTACGACTTATATACATAAGATATATAATACGGGGCAAAAGTTCCGGAACGGCTAATTATCTCATAAAATATTGGTTTAATGAGAAAATGTTTCAAACAAAAGTTGTAGAGCTTAAAAAATCTATTAACTGGTGATAATTACTTGAATTTTTGATTAGATACAAATGTATTTACTTATTATTATGTATCTATATTTCACATACACTGTACATACACAAACTGTATGTACATATAAAATACATCAATGAATATACATATTATATACAGCAAAGTATGTACATATTATGTATGTGCAATGTATGTATTTAGAGATTGTATAATGTATGTACATATGATGTGCAGCAATGTATATACATATTACATACAGTGGAGTATATACAAATTATGTATCTATATTTCACATACGTTGCACATACACAAACTGTATGTACATATAAAACACATCAATGAATATACATATTACATATTGTAATGTATATCCAAATTATGTACATGAAATGTATGAACATTCAACATACAGGATATTATTTTCATGTCATGGAAGTAAAATGTATATTCACAGAATGTCTAATGTTATATGGGTATATAGCAATGCCATTTTGGATATGTAATCTCCGTATTGCCGGCGCTGGTCTCTTCTGTTCTTTTTAGCTGAACTATCTGCATATATACTGAATTGATATTGACTGTACTACAGATATACAAGATATATATACTGATAATATCTCTATAATGTATTTTGTAGTATATTATTTATCCGATATTCTTAGAATATACGAAACTCATCAGTAATATCTGATCTACTTATCGAATATTCTCGAGATATACTAAAATTATCAACAATATGATTATATATTCTTGTAGCTTACCTCGAGAGCTTTCCAAAACACTATAATAAAGTATTATTTCATTAGGTACTTTTTGAGTTATTTTATATTTTAATCTTTGCCAAGTATTTGTATGTCACTTTAATTTTAATCTTTTTCGTTCCGGGCCTATCTGATAAAACTTATGGTTAATTTCAAAACAAGTCGATCAATTTGGTACGGGGCACTTTTAAACTCGAAATTGGTGATCGACGTGATCGACGTTATTGTAGTAAGGACTAAATAGTTTTATGATGTACTAATTGTAATAAAATCCGCAATATAATAGTACTATTTTATATATTATATATAATATTTATTTGGGCCAGGGGGGACATAATAGCGTAATTTTATGAAAATAAAATGCTTTTTAATTTTCTCGAGAGAGAGATCTTATAATATTTCTATAAATGCAAGATCGACTTTATGACAAATACTATTTCAAATTACAAATTCTCACAAACTGAACTACTTCTATGTACTTGGTTAGTTAACTTGATTTCATATTTATTTTTTATTTTTTATTTTTCAAAGGTTTTTATTTTTTAGTTATTTTTTAGAGAAAAATTATTTTTTAGTTTTTTATTTTTTATGAAAATTATTTTTCAAGGGAAAATTTGTTTAAAAGTTATTTTTTAGAAATAAATACTATACTTTTTGTTGCGTACAACTTAGGATTCTTTTTATATACTTGGCGTATTTTTTTTACCTTTGTGAGGTTTTTTTTAGAGGGATATCACTGCTTTTTGTAATAATTTTTTTTTTATAAAAAATTTTATCTTTGTTTTTTAGGGGTAAATATTAAACTTTTTCTTACGTACAACTTAGGATTTTTTAATATAATTAGCGTATTTTTTTTACTTTTGTGAGGTTTTTTTTTTTAGAGGGATATCACTGCTTTTTGTAATAACTGTTTTTTTATAAAAATTTTTATTTTTATTTTTTAGGGATAAATATTATAAACTTTTTATTGCGTACAACTTAGGATTTTTTTATATACTTGGCGTATTTTTTTACCTTTATTATTAATAGGGCCACCATACGAAATTTTCTGTAAAGATTGGACAAAACTTTTATGATCTGATAATGTCGCAGTTTTACATCCTTTC